ATGCAAAAGATGTGTCCTCTCCCAGGAAGGCAGTCAGGCCTGGAGAATTTTTTCCTGCAATTAGGTTCTCAGTGGAAGGTTTTTCCCCTCCTTTTTTCCTTCCTGCAGGGATCCAAGGGCAGCATGGCCAGGTTTGGTCTCACCAGAAATAGAGAGGGGACTAGAAGCAGGATTAGGAATGGGTTTGTTGGGAATGGCTACAGCAGAAAATCAGGGCATAGCCCCCTGTTTGCCCTTTCCCCATCCTAGTTCCTGTCAGAGAGCAGCTGTGGGGCAGTGCCTGCCCCATGGACCAACCCCTAGAGTTGCACCCAGCCCTCTTTGGTCTCATCCACCAGCAGCAGTGGGGCTTCAGCATGGCAGAAGCTGTTGTTCTCACGTCTGAAGCTGACAGACAGAGGAACAACAACAGTGCACTGGAGGATCCAGGGAAAAGGCCCATCTGTCTTGCTTTTGAGGATGATTAGGGAAAGAATTTGACTTGGCCAGCATGGGGAATTACACAGAATGGCAATGCTGAGGCTGACTGCCTGGCAGTGGCATGGAGTGCGGGAAGAGCAGGAAGATGGCAAACTGAAATCACAGCCTCTCCTCTAGTAACCAGGATAATATCCAAAGCTAGACACAACCCATGCACAGGTAAGAAATGAGCCTGCTCATTCCTAAAATGCTGAAAAGTCCTGTATGTTCAGCTCCTGATGGACCCTGCCACAGCTGTGCTTCCCCACCTGCAACAAGGGCCCCATCCCACTGCTCCTGGACACATGTCTCTTCCTCATACCAGGCTAAAATGTCCCCAGCTGCTTTCCATCCTCGTTTCTATGTACAAGTGACCTCATTTTCTGTATTTACACCTTTCCCAGTCCATAAGTCATTAGCAATTATAGCATAGTTTGAACCTCCTATTGGTTTCTTCTTCAATTTTTCATGGAAGTGTTGAGTGTTGTCAAGTCAGATTCATTATCGAGTGAATACTTTATATTGCCATCAGCAATGAACCATGTGCTGCAGTCAAAGAAAGACATCAATGTGATTTATTTTAATTATATTTATTTCCCGTAATTTTTTATTCATTGAGTCCTTTCTCAGCTTTTCCACATTTTTGCCAAGGATCAATTTCAAGCTGTAAATCAGTAACAGTATTAGCATTAGAAATACTTGGCTCTCCAAATTTGCCTTTTCAAAATACTGGCACAGCTTCAGCTCTCTCCCAGTCTTCTGCAACTTCCTCAGCACCTCTATGTAACTGAAAATAATGGTAATTTAAAGAGCTCTTTGGCCACGTCTTAAATTTGATGCATATGCTTACAGTGTTGTGATGTTCAGTCAGGGTGTATCACAGTGGGGATGCAAATTTTTCTGTGGATGTTTCACCCCACTGTCCCCACATGGAGCATTAATGATGCTCCATGTTCACCATGAATTTGCCGGTGTCCCAGGGGGATGCTGTACCAATAAAGGTAAAAAAAGGGATCCAAGAGTAAAATGTGGTGAACCCCTCAAGAACAAAGCAGCTCAAATCATTGCATTGCAAAAATCAGTTTGACGTTCTGTCAGTCGCACCTCACCGCAGCAACGGCTGGAACGAACAGTCATTAATTACCTTTGTCAGGTGAAATTTCTTAAATTACCTGCGACTTCACTTCCAGGAAACTCCCACTTTCAGCTGCCGCTGACAGTTTAAAAGGGAACCTCTCCTAGCACTTAGTTTTAGGAAAAGTCCAGGAAAATTACCAGGGGATGGAGTCATGCGTGGCTCACCTCTGTCTGCCAGGACCAGCACGTGTCCTGGAGTCGCCTGCCTGACCTGCCTGCACTGAGAAGAAAGGTCAATGGGCTGGAGGTGGATGAGGAAGGTGGTTAGCCAACCTGTCATGTAATCCACGGGCATTCTTCAATGACCTTTTCTTCTCCTTCCTAAAAATCAAAAGAAACACGGAGCAGACTGCCTGGAGAGCTGCTGCTCCTTGAACCTTGACAATATGCATTCAGCATCGCGAGGAGACGCTCAGCAGCCAGCATTCAGCACACGCTGCCCTCACTATTGAGCTCCCATACAGATGTTCATTGAACTGTCAGAGCACCAAGAGGAAAATAAATTAATTGTAAGTGGGAGCAGGTTAGTTAAATCTATTCTGGAAGTATTATATAGCCATTAAATCTCATACAAAACTCAATAATAATGGTTAATAATGTTCTTCGGAGGAATTAAATAGAAGCTCAATTTATAATGCTGCTCGGCATTCAAACCAGAGTGTTCCACCTTCCTTGTACATGATAAACATTTAGTAATTAATCCTCACAAAGCCTCAGTGAGGCAGATCTCTTCACAACACTGATTCTGTGTATAAATGGGAACAAGAAGGTACAAGATGCCTCCTTTGAAGCAGTGGTTGCATATGTCTTCAAACAAGATTTGGGTCTCTGGGACCCCACTCAGCATCTGTGTTTGAATAATGAGAGGTTTGTAAAAAGCCTAGGAGCCAGGATCAGATGTCAAGGTCTCTTTGTGCCCCTTCAGTGTGCTCAGACTATCGTGGCACGTTTCAGTATAATCCTGTAGTGCAATCTCCAGAATACTGATAGTTTCCCCACATGGTCACATGGAATGGTATTTAGAAGAAAAGCTCATCGTCTTAGGTCTACAACCTGTAGGAACTGGCCCATAACAAAGCTGTTAATTATGTTGAGATTCAAAAGAACAAACTTACAACCAACTGAAAGCCGTTTTTTGCAGAAGACAGATTATAGATAGATATAAGATCGATGGGATCTGGGTTGTCAAATAAAAGCAAATTTAATTTACATCAGAATGGTGGACTACTCATGGCTACAGACAAATTAGAATTATCTAGTGCCATTTTAAATCTCCTGTCTCCCTGTCACTGTTTAAGCACAGCATGAATAAACACGGGGTGTAATGAAAGGGAGTTTCCACCCAGCAACTAAGGTCCCAGGTAATCCATGCTTTGAAGAGTTTAAAGTGTCACTGTGGTGGCCTAAGAAGTAGTCTCCTACTTTTAGGCACCACCAAGCTTAGCTGAAATTCTGGCTTGGACAAGGAAGCATTTTTTCCAAATAATTTGTGGCTAAACCACCCTTGCTACAACAAAAGTAGTAATTCCCCAAAAGAACAACTCAGTATTGGGGATGGACTGTCCAGAGAAAGCAGCACACTTTTTATATCCTTGGTAAAAAAAAGGCAGCTCAAGAGTTTATTACACTTTTTGATACATCAGAATTGTCACTAATAATAATTTAAAATATGTTGGAAAGAAAGAAAATGCTCTTTACTAGCTGTAGAGAGATTGGCCCATGGTTAGTGCAGGTCAGAGTCCCTTTCAGGGGAGCCAGAAGATTACTCCCACCCAACTCATCTTCTCTTTGAATTAATTAACATTAAAACTATGCTTTTACAAGACAAGACACACTAGATAAAGCTCTGATTCTCTTGAAATCAACAAAAATTTGTCCACTGCTTTCAATGAGGGCAGGGTTTTTCCTAATATTTCTAACATTCTCTTATAAAATAGTGTTGAAAAAGACCTCAAGGGCCATCCTATTTCTCTTCTTGCCGCAAGGCAGGATCAGCTACATCCATGTCAGTGCTGATGGATGTTTGTCTAACTGGTCCTGAAAGAGCTGCAACACTTAATAGCACCTTGAGCTCTGCTTCCATTTTCACCTGCCCTGAGACAGGAAAAGAAAAAGGGCTTTTATCCCCAACTGTGCCAGGATTTTTTGCTGGTTTAAAGGACCAGTGACAATTTTAACATTTGATGTCCCACGGTCTGCTAAAGATAGAAGCTAATACTACCAACTCCAGGGAGCTTTCCCATGATTTATTAACATTTTTCCCTTTTATCTCTTCTTCTTGAGATATCTGACATGAAATCATGCCGTTCTGATTTCCATTTTCTCTTTTTCTCCACCATTTCAATTTGGGTCTGATTTCAGTGGCTGTTCCATAAGAACCCATAGTTAAAACTAATGCTTTCCTCTCTCTGCAGGCCTGTCAGTCTTCCAGTGGTGCAGTGTAAAGTGGGCAACTCTAATTCTAGGACTGAAATGCCAACTACTGTAATTATGTTGGCAATGTGGAAAGGCGGGAAGGCAACAGAGCAATAACAACCATGCGGGATGGAGCCTTGAGAGGAGGCAGGAAGAGAAGGACAGGTGGGCAAAACAATATTCAAGTTTGGTCCTTGCAGAAGAGAACCCCCATGGTTTGGTTATGCTTCCAGAAAGAAACATCATCAGTCATTAACTGCCCTTTGCCTGCAACCCAGTGCTCACAGAAACAAAGTCTTTGCTTTGGTTTCAAGAAGACCTGGATTGCAGTCAGAAATAGTAAAACATAGTTCCTAGTTCCTCATTGACAGGCAACTCGAAATACACTACTTGCATACCCTGAAACTACAGGAAACCTGCCCACAGCTGCTCAAAATACATTTATCATTTAGAATGGGAAACACGGACACAAGGATTAACATTTACAGCTGGTATTTCTGAACGTAAAGGTCTGAGACAGATGCTTACACACAGCAGATGGGGAACGAGAGGTGAGTTTCCCATGCATTCTCTCTCATCCCAGAGTACACCATGCATTAAGATTTCACAATAAGTATTTTTTTAAAAAAACTTGCTACATAGAATCCAACAGCAAATAGCACAATTTGTTGTTCATAAAGTATGTGAGAAGAAGCTTGGTACCCTTAACCCTTACCAAGGGTTTTATTCCCCAAATACAAACACTTAGCAGTCTTTATGGGTGAAAGACAACATGAACCACGTTTTCAGCCAAGTCATAAAAAATGTAGCTTCATATGTAATCACAAAACCTCCTGACATTAAAGGGTCCTATCTTTGCACATGGGGCAAAGTTGATTAATGCTGTGAGTGACCAGCAGTGGCCAAAACATTTCAGATCTGACTCTTTGCCAGTGGATTCCTCTGCACCACTGCTGCCACAAAACAAGAGTGTCACTGGGGAGGTGGGAGGAACAGAGCGGGGCACTGGAGCAAGGATGCCATGCTGCTCGATGGAAAAACCCTTACATGCTGCTTGCAGGAGAAATAGCAACTAACTTAGAGTCTGGGATGGAGGGCCAGACTAGAAAATGGGACTGTTGCTGGGACGTACAACCCTTGGGGATGCATTTTTAGCATCACCTCAGTATCTGTGGCTTTGAACTTCCTCAGAAATTTGTCAGGAATCATCAACATTTGAAATCAGCTTCCTGGGGCAGCAGGAAAGCTTTTTCGGATCACTACTGCCTAAAGAATAGGTTCCTGAAGGCATTGTTGTAGTTTTTATTGAAAGCAGTGTAGATGAGTGGATTAAAAAAGGAATTTGAATAGCCCAGCCATAGAAAAATGCTCTTCCAAATGGGTGGGATGTCACACGAGCAGAGTGGGTTGATGAGCTCTGTGATGAAGAAGGGGATCCAGCAGAGCACGAAGACCCCGATAAGGATGCCCACCATGAGGGCAGCTTTCTTTTCCTTCTGCTCTCTCCACGTGTCTCCGTCCGTCTGGAACGTAACAGTGGCATGACGGACAGTGAAGACCATCTGCGGCTGCTGGGCAGCTTCTTTTACCTGCCAAACACAAACACAGGTTGCACCGTGTGTACCTCAGGCAGCTGATCCCACACAGCAGGTACAGAGCCAAACAATGTAAGCAGTGGCCAGGGCTCCCAGGGAAACACAGGCCGTCTACGTCGTGCTCTAATTGAGGAGAGAGTGGCTGTATGACCCTCTTCTGGGTAATGGAGACTATTTTAAGTGAGGCTTGAAACTAGAAAGAGTAGTGATCTGTGGGGACTTGGGATTGCTCACACAGGATAGAAATAACATTATTTCCCCACTTAGAGTCTGATCAGCAGAACAGGCACACACCCACATGCCATGCACAAAAGTCTCCTTGCTTTCTCTGAACCCATTGAGTTTGAGTCCTCGGTAGGAGAGGCAAGAAAACAAGGACACATTTGCTTCGTCCCTGCAAGAAATCTTTACAGTGCACAGTCATCGTGCCTCGGATGAACTGACACGATGCAGCCACGATTAGGAAGGATTGACAAGGACATTCTGCACGTGTGTCTTCTGTCTGAGTAAATTCACAGTCAACCCAAAACCACAGCCGGTTGCCAGGTTATCATCCCCTGTGGAGACAGGACCCCATCCATACACCCTCCCCTCATCTCATGGGAAGGACAGTGACCCCTTACTCATGCTGGCAAGCACTGATTCAGCATTCCACAGGGGGACATCTGTGAGTCACCACTCACCCACGTGGACTTCAGATTCACAATCTGGCCCAAAGTTGCTTTAGCTACACTTTGTGTGCTCTCAGCTGGGGGTTCAGAAGGAGCCAAAAGACAGGGCTTGCAAGCTTTGCAGTCAGCTTTCCCTTGGAAGCCTCCGGGATTCAGAGGGCTTTTATGGGATGCTGTTTGCTTGCACACTTGAGCTCTAAGTTTTCCCCACTTCTGCAAGGGCTTGGCTGCTGCCAGCGCTTCACCTGAGCAAAATGCAACCAAGCTGACCTACCTCCAGGGCTTCTGGTGTAATGGGGGTGATGGAGTTACTCTTCCGAGATCCAATTCGAAACTTGGCAGCCTTGTAGATCTTCCAGTACACAAAGAGCACCACACACAGGGGTAGGTAGAAGGCCCCAAAGGTGGAGAAGATGGTGTAGGAAGGTTCCCGGCTGACTTGGCACTCTTCACTGTCCTCTGAATAAGTCTCTCCCCAGCCAAAGAGCAGCGGGGCCAAAGAGATGAAGGCAGAGAGTGCCCAGGTGAGGGCAATCATGACGTTGGAGATGCGGCGCCGGGTGCGGAGCGTGTACTCCAGGTGGCGGGTGATGGACCAGTAGCGGTCGAGTGCGATGGCCGTGACATTCCAGATACTGGCGGTGCAGCACAGCACATCGAAGGAGATCCACACCTGGCAGAGTGACCGGCCCAGTCGCCACCGCCGCCCAGACAACTCGTGCACCAGGCTGAGGGGCATGACGAGCGCTGCCACCATCACGTCGGAGATGGCCATGGAGGCCACCAGGTTGTGGGGCACCCGGTGGAAACTGCGCACGCGGAGGATGGTGGCCAGGACCAGCCCGTTCCAGAGGAACGTGGCCACCACCAGCATGGCCAACAGGGTGAGGACCAACACGCTGAAGACTGAGAGATGGGCCTGGCCGCTCTCGGGGCCGGCAGGGGACCCGCTCCTGTTGCCCGTGTCCGGCGTCGCATCGGCGAAGCAGCTGAGGTTGAGCGGGCGTTCCATGCCGGGCTGCTCCGGGCTCCTCCGGGCGCGGTGGCGGCGGGAGCGCGCTGGGAATTGGGGGGAGGAGGGGGGGAAGCACCGCCCTACCGCGGGCGCGGGGGGTCCCCGGCCGCCCCGAGTGTCGCCGGGCGCGGGGGCTCCCGGCTGCTCGGCGCCGGGGGCTTCATCCCCGGCAGGAACAGCCCTGCGTCAGTCGCGGCTGACGGCAGCCCCCGGCCCGCCCCGGCGGCGGGAGGCGGCGGCTCCGCGGGCGCGGGGGGTGCGCGGCTGGAGCGGGGTTGGAGCGGGGCTGGAGCAGCGGGAGCGGAGCGGGGCGGCGCTGGCGGCGGCGGAGCGGCCGGAGCGGGGCGGAGGAGCGGCGGCCCCTGCGGAGGAGCGGCGGGCTGGCGGGGCCGGGGCGGGCAGGTGAGTTCCCCGCCGTGCGCGGGTGCGGGGCGGGCGGCGCGGCCGGGGAGCGGAGCGGCCGCGCCGGGCGAGGTCCTGCTTAGTCATGTCCGTGCGCGGGTCGGGACCGGCGCCGGGCCGAGCGGGGAGGCAGAGCCGGCCGCTGCCCCAGCCGGCTGTCCCTGCCCGCTTCCCGCTGCCCCTGCCCCTTCCCCAGCCCGCTTCCCGCTGTCCCTGCCCTGCCAGCTGCGCATCCCCTGCCCGCCCGCTTCCCGCGCCGTGCGGGAATCAGCCCCGGCTTTGTCTCGGGGTTTCTTCTCTTCCCCTCGGGGCGTATGCCGTGTGCCAGCCGCAGAAAGTTAGCATCCTTGTGAAATTGTCCCCAGGCTCCTCTAAAAATGTCACAGTGAGGCGCCGCGGAGATTTCCAAGCTCCCAGTTATGCTACGGTCTGCGCCCAGCAAACCTGTTAGTAATCCTGGTTATCCTGTGTAGGGGGAATGTGACAGGGGATTATTTCTTTGAGAACTTCTGTGATGGCATTTCCTAACTTGTTAACAATTGTAGGGCCTTTTATTAGAAATATTCATTCACTTGGCTGCTGTTATTAATTGTTCAATTAATAGCATTAGCCATTAATGAAATGCTTGAGCATTTCCCCTGCTTTTTAGCACGTTGCTTGTGGTGAGTGGTGGGATTCTGGGCCTCATAGCAAAAGTCAGAATTTTACCCCACGGAGCAGGTTTCCCTGTGCCCCAGTTCCATGAAGGGATGTCAGCCAGCTCCAGCCCACAAGCCTTGGATGGCATCCAGATAGGGCTGCACCGGTGCTGGCACACGGCTTCTCCAGACAGTCCCGGGATAACGAGTCCCAAGAGCTGTGGAGTCACAGTGATGTGAGAAGCTGCTGGGCACTGACATGGGGCTCACGGTCTGCATCTCTGGGGAGAGAAGGAAGGAAGGGCATCCATGTTAAGATTTGGTGACAGTGACATTTGCCAGTGAACTGCACTTTCAGAGAGTTTGGGGAGAAGACACAAGCAGAGGAGATGTTCAGGGAGCACCCAAATCATTCCATGCTCGCAGTATATGGAGGGTAAAACAAAACTGGTGCTTTCTGCTGCCTCTTCTGAATCTCTCTGGAATTTTTGATGAAAAACAGCAAAGGAACAATAACAAGGGGTAATGAAACAAAATGTTTTCTGGTGCTGCTGCTTGTTTCTCTGTGCTGTCAAATGAAATGCAAGGCAGCGTATCCAAAACAGGTCCAGGACCTTGTTTTGGTGGGAGGGGATTTTCCCCATATGGATTCATTCTGTGCTGCTGCTACTTGTTCTCAGAGCTGGGGATCTGGCCTGTTGTAGTTACTGGAACAGATGTAGCCTTAGAGACTATAACATAATTTTGGAAATAAACTGCCATCTCTTGGGGGGAGGAATTATTATTTTATCTTTTATAGACAAGGATACTGACAATTTTGGAATGAGTAGTTTTTTTACTTACAACTTAAGGGACAAATGGGGTTTTCAGGCTTTCACAAAGACTCTTGATTTCAAATTCCTGGTTAGCAAGTGCAAAACATCCTTGACTGTCATTATATTGATCAAAACACTTAGCAACTGCCAGGACTGAGAGCTTTTTGTTGTGTGGGCTCTTCCCAGAAAAACCTATGACCCAGAATTAATAGAATCAGCAACAAATTATGGAATATGTGCTCCTGAAAATACATTATTATTTTTTCCTTCAAGAACAAATAGACAAAAATTACATTTAAAGGGAAATGAAAATAAAATTTATTAAATCTGAAGAATTAAAACTAGATTATGTTCTCATGAAAAATTATTAATATTTTCAGTATCTCACTTACTTGACTTTAAAAAATATATATTGGCAGATTCTGGAGCTGAATGGGTCAGTCGTAGTATCAAAGTAGAATCAGAGTAGTAACAGAAATAGAGAATGTAGACAAATATATATATGTGTGTGTATATATATATACATATATATATATGGAAGCGCAAAGATTAAGGTGAAAATCTTGCTGCTGTCTCCAGCTGCCTCAGGGGTGGGTGTACAGGGGGTGAAAGCAAAGTCTCCTTAGAGGTGCACAGCGATCAGATGAGATGAAATCAATGAAAGTCACAACATCAGGTATTGACCTGGGGGTGTTGGTTGATGAGAAGCTCAACATGACCCAGCAATGTGCACTCACAGCCCACAAACCCAGCTGTGTCCTGGGCTGCATCAAAAGCAGCGTTGCCAGCAGGTCAAGGAAGGTGATTCTGCCCCTCTGCTCCTCTCTGGTGAGACCCCACCTGGAGTGCTGCATCCAGCTCTGGGGGCTCCCAACATGTGAAGTACGTGGAGCTGTTGGAACAAGTCCTCCAAGAGGAGGGTCACAAAGATTCCTAAAGGGCTGGAGCATCTCTCCTCTAGAGACAGGCTGAGAGAGTTGGGGTTGTTCAGCCTGGAGAAGAGAAGGCACTGGGGAGACCTCCGGTACCTAAAGGGGCTACAAGTGAGCTGGAGAGTGACTGTTTATGAGGGTATGGAGTGATAGGACAGAGGGTAATGGCTTTAAGCTGAAGGAGGTTAGGTTTAGATTGAATAGTAGGAAGAAATTATTTCCTGTGAGTGTGGTGAGGTACTAGAACAGGTTTCCCAGAGAAGTTGTGGATGTCCCATCACTGGAAGTGTTCAAGGCCAGATTGGATGGGGCCCTGAGCAACCTGGTCTAGTGGAAGGTGTCCCAGCTCATGTCAGGGGGTTGGAACTGGATGGTCCTTCAGGTCCCTTCCTCCCCAAAGCACTGTATGATTCCCTATTCCAATTAGAAACTGGGAAATAAATGTTCACCTGGAGAGTGATCAAACACTGAAACCAGTTCAAAGAGGCTGTGAAATCTCCATCCTCGGTGATGTCCAATCTGGACAGCACTGCGAGTCACCTGATCTGACTTTGAAGTTGGCTCTTCTTTAATGGGGGTTAAATTAGGTGGTGTCCAGAGGTCTCTTCCAACCTAGATCATTCCACAGCTCTGATTCTGCAATATTTAGGCATGTTGGCTGAATGTACCAGATTCTGGAGGTGACTGAATTTTGTTATTTTTAAGGACAAAATGCTGTTTACTTTACACAGATTAATAAAACCAGTCATTTCCTCAGAACTGTTGATATTTATAAAGCAAGTGGAAGGATGGGATCTGTAGCAAGCAGATAATGTTTGTGGAATGATCACATCAATGAAAGTCTCTGAGAAAAGTTTTTATGCTACAAAGTCAGGATTATCTCACATCCTCATTAATGGAGCCAGAGGAATTAAAAGTGACGGGACTTCCTCAGATTTAGCAGAATTCCCTCCGGTAAAGACATCAAATACTGCTTGCTACTAAATACCATTTACTGGAGGTACCTTCCAATTCAAAATACATACCTGATGGTTGGAGATTAGGAGGGAATTCCCAGTGTAATCAGTGCCACTGCCTACATGCACATCCAAGTAGTATCTGCTCTTGGAAACAGGGTGAATGGACTCACATTGTTAACCTGTGTGCAGATCTTCTGAAGCTCTGCCCTTATAACAGGTAGAAAATGGAGAGGAGATGGCTCAGGAGGAGTTTTTGCTGGGCATGCTTAATGAGTGAATGAGAATTTCTGTCTACAGGGTAGGTGGAGCTGCTAGGTTAAACAAGGATTACAGGAACACATATTCTCACTGTATATATATGCACCATCACTGGAAGCTCTGCTCAGTTGCCAGCCAGACTGCTCAGTAAGTGCATCCTGTCTCGGCAATTTCTAAGCCTCAGATATTCATCACTTAAATTTTGTTTAACATTCAACCAGCCTCAGTCCAGCCTCACACTACATCCAGCCATGCCTTGGAACACAAACGCAGATCACCTGCTCCTCTCCCGTAACAAAAATTTCAAGCACAAACACAGTTAAAATGCACAGACTGTGAGGTTATTCTCACACCCTCAGAGCCCATCCACAGTTCTGATGTTGCTCTAGTCTTCTGAAACCAAGATCATAGAATCATAGAATGGTTTAGGTTGGAAGGGACATGAAAGATCAGCTCATTCCAACTCCCTTTCACCAGGGGGACAGGGACACCTTCCATTAGACCAGATTGCTCAAAGTCCCATCCAGCCTGGCCTTGAACACTTCCAGCGATGGGGAAATCCACAGCTTTTATGGGCAACCTCTTTCCATGTGTCACCATGAGCACAGTAGAGTGAAGAAGAAATCTTCCTTACATCTGATCCAAACCTACTCTCTTTCAGTTTAAAGCCATTGCCTCTAGTCCTGTTACCCCATGTCCTTGTCAAAAGTCCCTTCTCCAGCTCTCTTGTGGTCCCTTTAGGCCCTGGAAGGTGCTCTAAGGTCTCCCCAGAGCATTCTCTTCTCCAGGGTGAACAACCCCAACTGTGTCCATAGGGGAGGTGCTCCAGCCCTCTTATCATCTTTGTGGCATCCTCTGGACTTGGTCCAACAGGTCCATGTCCTTCTTACGTTGGGGGCCCCAGAGCTGGATGCAGCACTCCAGGTGGGATCTCACAGGGTCAGAACTGAGGGGTAGAATCACCTTCCTTGACCTGCTGGCTATGCTGCTTGT